CAAAAATATTTGAGAGTTTATAAAAGAAATGAACTATACAATAGTTTTAGCGGTATGTCTGATAGATCAAAGTGAAGATACCACTGGGAGGAATCACCACTGATGAGTCAGGACCTCCAAATATTTTTCATCTTCTATTTCATGTTTGAAGACATTTTTATTTTGAAATATCAAACAATCGGCGATAACAATTGCAATAATTTCAAATATATAAAATACGTTTAAAAGGATAATTATGCCAAACCTATTTATGTATATATGTATAATATTTTATATTGTCTTAATATTTTTTATTCCTATAAAGTTCATTTTCTAATTCTAAATTTTCAACGCATAACTGCCAAAAACATTGAATATATTTTGACAAAATTAGAATAATCTAAAAACAAAATGATGAAGGGCCCAGTATAAATATCGAGTTTGAAACGCCATATTCTTGTATTGCGAACTCCAATATAGAATTTTTAAATATTCCTAAAAACACTCCATTATAGAATTCATCTTATATTACGAAATCTTACATATAAATAAAAGCAAACGTACTATTTTGCTTCAAAATAAATGTTCAACTGTGGTTGTCTATGAAATTCATTGTTCTTTCTCCTTGAAAATGTTAACAATTCTCTTTATACTTATATTATCATGATATTTTTTCATGATTAAATTTCCTTCGTTGAAATATATAAAACTACCTTTTTTCAATTCGAAACAACTTATTTATAAATAAATAATTATATTTGGCAATTCAGACAAAAACAATGGTATACAGGTTGGCCTTTGTCTGAATTTGCTAACGATGGTTATGTGGCTCATTCATCACCACTAGTAAAGGTTTTCACTAGGTTTTTTTTTCAAAACTTTACTGCTCGGAAATTCTATCTAATAAAATAAAAAGAACTATGGCTACCATTTCAAAATAAATTTTATTAGATTTGATATTTTAACAATATACTTGTTTTCTCGAAATTCCAAAAGCTGATCCTTTGAGATATTGAAAAGATTAATAACGAATGAGCCACAACACTAAATCTAACATATTAAAAAAAAATCAACCAGCCAAGTAAATTGATAGATATACAAACTCCCCCCCCCCCAACCGAAATTAATAAATAAAACATTGTCGGGTATATGAGACTTCAAAACACCTACAACCTCCGCCGATAGATGGCGCTTTCGACTGTTTCCATCTGAAACTGGTGTGGGAATCACCGACTGCTGTGGTCCTGTTTCCTGGGGCAAATGTTTGTAATTACACGTTTATATTGACCCTAGGAGGTAACGTAATGTAAATACCCGTTAATTGTTATTCTAGTTATATGTAATGTGTAGTGGAAATGACAATAAAGTACGAGTATTAGAAGTCTTGATGCGGGTTGCTGTATTGACTCTCTCACCAACACCACAGTCGCTATTCTTCTGGTAAGTCTCTCGTGTCCCCCCTACCAGTGGTAAGGCCGAGAGATACTGCCAGAGAGAAGGAGATCCACCTGAGTGGAGGTTCTCGGAGGTCTTTGGGTGGTCTACAGAGGAGAGCAACGGGAGCCCAGGGTAAGTGATCCACGACGGAGGAAGCGGCGTCGTCGCGAAGAACCGGAAGGGTCAAGCGCGACAATATATATTAATATATAGAAAAACATATGGGTATATCTCAACCAATTTTTTATTTAGTTCACGATGTTTCAGTGAATCAGGGAATAATTCCCCAGAGGAGAGTGACATCGAATCACGTCGGAAACTAAATAAAGGTTTGGTGGATGTAGCCATATGTTTTAACAAACAAATTTCCAACGAACAAATAATCTTCAAAAATATATAGAAAAACCTTCAAAAATATATAGAAAACCTTCAAAATATATAGAAAAACCTTCAAAAATATATAGAAAAACCTTCAAAAATATATAGAAAAACCTTCAAAAATATATAGAAAACCTTCAAAAATATATAGAAAAACCTTCAAAAATATATATTAATTTTTATATTAGTTTAATTTTGATTTTTTTTGGGATATATAGTCTTTTCATGTCCCTTATTTTCACTGTTAACTTCAGATTTAAAGCATTCCACGAAAGCGTTTTAAATTTAGCTTTAAAATGAAATCAAATTTGAATATCTAAAATTTGGAGAATTTGAATATCTACATATAGTTGAATTATTTATAAAAATAAATATTTGAATATCGTTCAAAATTATTCAAATGAGACATCACGAAATGCTTCAAAGCAATTGACGATAAAGTGTGAAGCGAGAAATTATCAGTAATATAATAATTCTGGCATCATTACAGAATGGGGAAAATGAAGAGAGACCATTCCAGCCAGCTGGGACATAAATTGAAAATTTTGGCAGTCGAAATGAGGCATATTTTGACTGATGGCCTTTAGAAATTGTCTTTTATCTCCATTCAAATCGCTGACAGCTTGGAATAAATTTGCAACTCTTCATGCTAACAACGCATCTTAAACTTTGTTTTAACTCCTTAATGTTTTATTCCATACCTGCATTGTCTCTTATTGAAGTGAAAGCTAAATTTTAGAGCATTTAAAAGAAAACTGATGAACTGTTATCTTGATACTTATAGTAAATTATTTCCTTATCAGATTTTCATTAAATATAATTTATTGAATTTATTTTTATATATGAAATATATTTATATTTGTTAAATGTAAGAATAATAATAGACAACTTTATTTCAAAATTGAAATGAGTCACTAATTTTGTCCTTTTTATGTTTTTTTTTTTTTTTTTCATTTATATATTTCAAAAATATGAATGAGGTGGTGAGAAACAGAGCTGGAGCTTTTGCGTTGTTCAAATTTTGGAAGACGGCTGAAGAGAAGAGGAGGCTATATACATAATCTAATTGATGTAAATAATTATATGCAAATAATCTATGTCAGAATTAGAATGACGAATCCTGTATGGGACTTTGATTCCAGTAAAAGGCTTGCTGCTGCTGTTGTATATAGTCACAGTGTAGAAAATACTATACTATACCTACTGCATATAGGTTTCTCTCTGTATTCTTAGTTCTCTTCTCTTACTCTGTAAACTGGCGAATCCTATATAGGACGAGAGGTCCTCAATAAAGGCTTTTGTTGTTGTTGTTGTATATTTCAAAAATATTGAAAAAACCCTATATTAAAAATTACACATAATAACAATGAGTACATAATTACATGTGTACCGCGCCATCTGTTATAAGAAATTTTAACTATTTTTAACGCGTAGGATTCTTTTTGAAATAAAACAATTTCAACCCTTACTGCAATGATAAAATAATGGAAGGGTCTGGCTTATCAGTGATGAACCTTCCCAGTTTGGGGAAAACCAATGCTCGAAGCTTGTTATATATTTACAATTATATTAAAAATAAAAAAAGGCACATCCTGCCCGTGCCCATGTGAGCATTATATGTATACTAGCCGAATGACCCGGGCAACGCCCGGGTTTTACCCGATTAAATGTTTTATTAAAATACTATTCTTTACAATTATAAATTGGCGTCGTGGATGGCACTCTTTTGAAACGTCCCGCTTCAATCTTTGTGTGTTTTTAAAATACAAAACTAAAAATGTAAATTTTCACAACGATATTTGAAAATTGTATTATTTAGATTTTTGTATGAATATATTTTAAATCTGATATATACATAAAATGATATGATAATGATAGCAAGTGATTTTTTGTTCCTACCCTGTCATTACGTCACTCAAGGTCACCGTCGCGCCACGTGGTGGCGCAGCAAACGGTGACACCTGAATGGCGCTCTCCTATTGGCTCGCTACGATCACGCCACCAAAAGCAAACGGTGACAGAACGTATGACGCTGATAACTGTATATAGAATAATTATATTCATATGTATTCCTACTTTGGTAGATTAAACTGGAGAAAACGATGGGAGAGATCACCACTGATGAACCAGATCCCTCCATCAATTTATCATTGCACTAAAATCAGTGGATGTTTTATTTCAAAAATAACCAGACGCGTCAAAAAAAAGTTTAAATTTCTCAATGATAACATTGCACTTCACATTAATAATATACAAATTAGCGTTTCTCTCTCTCTCTCTCAATAAATTTTATAATATTAACAAACATTTATTCGATGTAATTGTAACTGAATTAATTTACAAATGAAAAAAATGAAATATAACAATTTGGTGATGTTTTTATTGAAATTCATAGCGAAGAAAAGATACTGAACTCTTTGTAAAACGAAAATTAAAATTATACCGCGAATGTTTCTTTTAAAAATCGAAATTTATTTTCAAAGAGAAATGGCGACATTTCTAACTTTGAGATGAGGTATGGAAAGGTGAAACATGAAGAGTAATGGAGAACGGAAAAATAAAAAGTGTCCAGGGGCGGGAATCGAACCCACACCCTTCTGCTTACCGGGCAGGTGCCTTGTCCACTCGGCTACCCTGGACGTATTTTTCCGTTCATAACTTATATTTAAAGTAACATTTAAAATACAATATAACGCGGCTGATGATTGTAAAACGAAAATTAAAATTATACCGCGAATGTTTCTTTTAAAAATCGAAATTTATTTTCAAAGAGAAATGGCGACATTTCTAACTTTGAGATGAGGTATGGAAAGGTGAAACATGAAGAGTAATGGAGAACGGAAAAATAAAAAGTGTCCAGGGGCGGGAATCGAACCCACACCCTTCTGCTTACCGGGCAGGTGCCTTGTCCACTCGGCTACCCTGGACGTATTTTTCGTTCATAACTTATATTTAATGTAACATTTAAAATACAATATAACGCGGCTGATGATTGTAAAACGAAAATTAAAATTATACCGCGAATGTTTCTTTTAAAAATCGAAATTTATTTTCAAAGAGAAATGGCGACATTTCTAACTTTAAGATGAGGTATGGAAAGGTGAAACATGAAGAGTAATGGAGAACGGAAAAATAAAAAGTGTCCAGGGGCGGGAATCGAACCCACACCCTTCTGCTTACCGGGCAGGTGCCTTGTCCACTCGGCTACCCTGGACGTATGGACGAGTGGACAAGGCACCTGCCCGGTAAGCAGAAGGGTGTGGGTTCGATTCCCGCCCCTGGACACTTTTTATTTTTCCGTTCTCCATTACTCTTCATGTTTCACCTTTCCATACCTCATCTCAAAGTTAGAAATGTCGCCATTTCTCTTTGAAAATAAATTTCGATTTTTAAAAGAAACATTCGCGGTATAATTTTAATTTTCGTTTTACAATCATCAGCCGCGTTATATTGTATTTTAACTGAACTCTTTTATTGAGTTTTTAAAAATATGTTATGGCTTAGTTATTGCTTTTTCTAATTTTTTTTTTCAGAATTGGTCATAATAGCTCTATTTATCCTCCTATTGTAGTTGGTTTAATAAAGTTGTTCTGATAAAGAACAATATACAAAAGATCTATTTCACTAAAATTCAAGAAATATTATCTATAGATAATACCGTAACAGAGTTTTCCATTGTAAAGTCCTGAGCTATCTCCTCCGAAGATTCTGAACTACACATAACGATCTATATACCAAAATTTTCGTTATTTTTTTCTTCGTATGATAGTTCTGTTTTTATTTTCATAATGTTAACAGTTATTTTTATTTTTTAATTTAATCTATTTTACAATCGTAGATTTTTTGCATTTATCATCGTCAATTCCTTTGTTTTGAAAGCGCGTTCTTTTGTTTTGTATCTTTGTACTTATATTTTGTAAGTATAAGTTTTTTCCCCTTTACAGCAATGTCTTTATGGCATTTTGAAAATAAAGTACTAAAAAAAATGCCTTTTGCTTTACATGGCCGTTTTATTTTTATTTTATTAGCTTTAATTAGATTTAATAAAAAGATTTTCATTTAAATTTTGCTCTATTTTTGTGTCTGGTTTTCTTTTTTGCAGTATCTTTCATACTTCTTTTTTGCAGTATCTTTCATAATGTCTTTGGCATCTTTATTTTTCTCATTAAGAGGCTAATGATTTATTTGTATAATCAATTGTTGATTACTTAATTTGTTATATGATAAAGCACAATTTGATTTATAGATTATACAAGAAAATAAGACCTAATCCAAATAATTTAATAGTGTGTGACGTTTCGGCAACAGCATCAGACAAAAGAATAAATGAACTAAAGAATAAAATCTCATTGATTCTTTTGTCTGGTGATGGTGACATTGCTGTCTGGTTTCTGTTGAGGAGGTAATATTGTATATATATATAAAATAGAAATGTTGATTATAATTAGATCTTTTAAATTAAATTATCTATATATTAAAATAAAATTTCTTCATTTTTATCTCCCATTTTTTATTAATTAGGTTAGGCTGTATTTGCTGTGTTTGGCATGTATTTGTTCTACTTGGTTTTTAGTTTAGCTTTTTTTTTTTCAGCGGCTTCTGTATCATGCCTCGCAGAGGCCGTGGAAGACTCGCTCTCCAGTCCAGGCGCGCTTATATGACTCGCCACAGGAACAACGCCCCTAATCCTATTTCTCCTGTTCCCACTGAATATATTATTGGGGGCCTCGATATAGTCTGCCCTTACTGCTCAGCCCTTCATTTCCCTGGCGAAACTGTTGGTAGCTCCTGCTGCCACAAAGGGAAAGTTATTCTTCCTACTTTGACCTCCTTTCCATATGAAATGATGGAATTGATGTCTTCAAACAGTGTGGAGGCTAAGTACTTCCAGACCAACATTCGGAGCTACAACAGCTCTTTGGCATTTGCCTCCATGGGTGCGCAGGTTGATGTCTTTTCTGGACAGGGGCCTTTTTGTTATAGAATCCATGGACAGATCTATCATTTGACTGGGCCCCTTCATCCTCATGAAAACAGAGCCCCGTCTTATGCCCAACTTTATATTTTGGATTCTGAGGCTGCGAACAATATACGCATTGCAGCATCTAGGCCTTTGGAATGCCATCCTGGTATATTGACTCTTTTGGATTCTGTGCTTAGGCGTGTGAATCCGTATACTTCTGCTTACAGGCAGATGCACCAGGTGGAACTAGCTGAGGAACACCGGGCTCGCATTGAGAACCGGCAAATGTGTCAGGTTCAGATGCTCATCCGGCAAAATCATTGTAGAGATCTTCGCCGATATAATGCGCCAAGTGTAAGTGAAGTTGCGGCCATTTTTGTTGATCAAGATGGCCATGTACCTTCGAACAGAGATCTTGCTGTTTTTCCACACAATCGTGGTTTAGTGCGTATTTCTCCACTTAATCCTAACTGTGACCCAATGACATACCCTCTTTTATTTCCTGCCGGTGATCCTGGTTGGACAATAGGAATCTTACATGAAGAAAACATGCGCACAAGAACTAGAAACCATGTTACCATGCTTCAGTTCTATAGTTATCGGTTGGCCATCAGACCTGGCTTTTCGCCCATTCACTATGGCAGGAGACTATTTCAGCAATATGTTGTTGATGCCTATGTTAAAACAGAGGGCAATCGGCTGAACTATATTCGCCAAAATCAGTCCCTGCTTAGGGTGGAGTTATATCAAGGTCTGATGGATTATATCCATGAACAGGAATATTCTCGGGGTGTGCGAATAGGCCGTATTTTTATTCTTCCATCTTCCTTTCCTGGGAGTTCCCGGGCCATGCAACAAAACTATCAGGATGCGATGGTCATTGTTAGAAGGTTTGGAAGACCTGACCTATTCGTGACATTTACCTGTAACCCACGTTGGACTGACATTGTTGAAAATCTTCTTCCTAACCAGAATCCTTCTGATAGACCGGATCTGGTGGCTAGAGTATTCAATCTCAAGTTACAACAATTACTGCGCGAGATTGTTAGTCAGCATGTATTGGGAGTGGTCATTGCTCGGGTGCATGTTGTTGAGTTCCAAAAACGCGGTTTACCGCATGCCCACATGCTGTTTATGCTTAGAGAAGAAGACAAGCCTACAGACAGGGATGCCATTGACAGATTGGTTTGTGCAGAAATTCCTAGCCCTACTATGCAGGTTCAGCTGTATGACATGGTTCGTAAACATATGATCCATGGTCCTTGTGGAAACTTCAATCTTCACTCACCATGCATGTCTGATGGCAAGTGTACTAAAGACTTCCCTAAATCATTCCTGCAGCTGACTGAGGCTAACAATAATGGCTATCCTCTCTACAGACGTCGAGATGACGGCCAGACATTAGTTGTGGGCACTCACGAGGTGGATAACCGCTGGGTTGTTCCCTATAACCCCTATCTGTGAAAAGTGTCAAATATCTTTTCAAGTATGTATATAAGGGACACGACAGGGCTGAGGTGGAAGTGTCTGTTGGAGGATTAGATATGGAAAGCAGGGCACATGATGAAATCAAAAACTTTCTTGACGCTCGGTATGTAAGTGCTCCTGAGGCAATGTGGCGAATGTTTGAATATCGCTTGCATGCTCACTCGCATATCATATGTCGCTTAGCTGTACATCTACCTAATTTTCAATCTGTCTAGTTTGTTGAAGGTAGTGAAGAACAGGCTCTTGAAAATGCCTCACGCAGACGCACAACTCTGACTGCCTGGTTTCAGCTCAATTGTGTTAATGTATCCGCAAGATCACTTTTATATGGAGACATACCTTCCGCTTATGTTTTCAGGCAGAATCAATGGAGTGCTAGAGTTCGGGGTGGGGCTTTGTGCATTGGACGTATGTGTTCAGTGAATCCTAAAGATTCTGAGCGTTACCACCTCCGGCTTATACTATTACATGTTGCAGGTGCTCAGAGTTTTGAAGATTTGCGAACTGTGGATGATATTGTTTGCTCCACTTTTAAAGAGGCTGCCCAGCGCCGTGGATTATTGGCTGATGATTCTGAATGGGATGCATGCTTAGCTGAGGCGGCTTTGTTCCAAATGCCTTGTCAACTGCGGCAACTCTTTGCGACAATTCTCATCTACAATAATCCTACCGACCCTGTATCACTGTGGACCAAATACAAGGGGTATTTTAGTGAGGACTTTTCTCGTGCAACATCTGACGCAGCTGCTGAACAGATGACTCTCAGAGAGCTTGAATTCCAGCTGAGAGAAAATCGCCTCAGTTGCCACCATTATGGACTTCCTGCACCCCTAATCCCACTTCTTGATTCAGAAGAGGATCACCTTGATGTTAATGCAGAGCTGCAAATTGGGACAGAAATGTATAGGTCCCTTACACCAGATCAAAAGTTAATTGTTGACACAATTGTTGATTCCCTCAATGTAAATCCACGTTGCTTTTTTATTGATGGGCCTGGTGGTACGGGCAAGACTTATGTTTATAACACCCTAATTCATTGTGTTAGAGCCGTTGGAAAAATTGTCATTCCGCTGGCCTCCACTGGAATAGCGGCTACCCTTTTGTCAGGTGGCCAGACTGTCCATTCCAGGTTTAAGCTGCCGATTCCCTTGCTTGAGAATTCTGTAGCTGCGATCTCGGCCAATAGTTCTGAGGCTGAGCTTATTCGTAGATCATCCTTAATTATTTGGGATGAGGCTCCTATGGCCCACTACAGAGCACTTGAAATTGTGGATCGTCTCCTAAAGGACATTATGCATTGTGACCTTGCTTTTGGCGGAAAGGTTGTTGTTCTTGGAGGTGACTTTCGCCAAGTGCTACCTGTGGTACCTCGAGCTTCAAGAGCTGAAATTGTTGCTGCTTGCATTAAGCAAAGCAAGCTATGGCCATTGTTTGTGATCTTGCGCCTTACTCAGAATATGCGAGCAGGTATTGATGCACAGAGCTTCTCTCAATGGTTACTTAAAGTTGGTGATGGTGATCTACCTACAGACCAACAGGGCCTCATTTCTCTTCCAGAAAGCTGTATCTTTCATGGGGTTGACCTGGTGCAGGAAATATTTGGTTCTTCCTATGGTGATATTACCGCCCTTAGTCAGTCTGTGATTTTAACGCCAAAAAACACAGATTCATTAGAGATTAATGAAAAAGTTTTGGATCGCTTACCAAACAGGAGTCAGTGTTTTCTCAGTGTTGACAGTGTCGAGTGTGAGAATGTGGAGGAACAAAATAACTACCCTACTGAATTCCTTAATAGCCTTACTCCCACAGGAATGCCTCCACACCGGTTAAACCT